CTGCTGTATTAATGCTGGCTAACAAATTTTCCTAAAATGTAGCAGCTTTCACCTATAAACATTTCTTATCTCCTCATTTCTGTGGGTCAGGAGTCTAGTTTGGGAGTCTCTGGCTCAGGCTCTTTCTTGGGGTTGCAGTTAAGCTGTTGGCCTCGTCAGCAGCCTCTTCAGGCATGAGGGCTCCACTCGGGGAGGGGCATCTGCTTCCAAGCTGTCTGGGGTGGTTGTTGGCAGGCTTCCATCCCTCCCACATAGGTCTCTCCATAGGGCTGCCTCACAACATGGCAGTGGGCTTCCCGCAGGGATAGTGAGCCAAGAGAGAGCCCGAGCAGGCCTGGAGAGGAAAACCGATCAATCTTGCAAGAGACATTCCATCACTTCTTATGTATTCTGTTGGTTAGAATTGAACTGGTAAGTCCAGTCCACACTCAAGGGAGGTGATTACAGAAGGGCATGCAGGAGATGGGTATCATTGAGGATCATCTTCGAGGCTGACTACCTGCTGGCATACTTTTCAGTGGAGCCATGGTTTCCTTTGAAATATTCCCTGACTTATATCTAGATTGGGAGGTAAGATAGAAAGTTACTTAAGACCGTGTGCCTGGTAGTCCTGTAGCTGTGGGATTAAACGTCTGCACCACTGTTTAAACGCTCTGCAGTATTGGGCAAGAACCTCTCTTCGCCAGTTTCCTCACTTGTAAAATATGGATAATCTTTTTTTTTCCCCCGTTTATTTATTTTATTGCATTTTAGGTTTTGGGGTACATGTGAAGAACATGCAAGATTGTTGCATAGGTACACACGTGGCAGTGTGATTTGCTGCCTTTCTTCCCATCACCTACATCTGGCATCTCTCCCCTTGCTATCTCCCCCCAAATATGGATAATCTTAACTAACTAAAATCACTCTAAGGAATAAATTAGTTTGTATAAAACTTTTAGGACATAGTAAGTACAATTTTTTTTTTCTTTTGAGACGGAGTCTTGTTCTGTCACCAAGGCTGGAATGTAGTGGCATGATCTTGGTTCACTGCAATCTCTGCCTCCTGGGTTCAAGCGATTCTCCTGCCTCAGCTTTCTGTAGGCGTATGCCACCATGCCCAGCTAATTTTTGTAGTTTTAGTAGAGACAGAGTTTCACCATGTTGGCCAGGCTGGTCTCAAACTCCTGACCTCAGGTGATCCTGCCAAAATGCTGGAATTACAGGGGTGAGCCACTGTACCCCGCCTGTATGTAGTAAGTACTATTAAAAAAATCTAAAAATTAAAAGTAGCTATTAAAATTATCCAATTATATTTATCCTTATTGCTGTTTCCAATTCTTCTACACCTTGGATAGTGAGATTAGTCTTCATAAAAGAAGCATACAGTAGAGATAAGTCTTCCTTATCCATAGGAGATTTGTTTTGGGACCCTTCCAGTGAATACCTAAAATCACAGATAGCATTGAACCCTATATACATACATGGTGTATTCTCCTGTACATACGTACGTACCTGCTTAGGATAAAGTTTAATGTATAAATTAGGTGCAGTAAGAGATTAACAACAATAATAATGAAACAAAAAGTACGATATACTATTCACAATTTTAAGGATAGAAGATTCATTCTTATTGTAGATCTTAGCAACCTCAGCATATGATTTTTTTTTAAGTTGAGAACTGTCATCTTTTTAGTTAAAGGAAGCACTGACATATCTCTTTAGCACATCTGAATTGCCAGCATCCCTACTCCTGCGCCTTGGGGCTATAATAAGAGAAAATAAGAGTGGCACATAAGTACTGCAGTACACAGCTGGTAACCTGGATGGCTGCTAAGTGGCTAACAGGTGAGAGCAGGAGATGCTGGACAGAGGGGTGATTCTTGTCGGGGACAGCACAAGATTTCATGATGCTACTCAGAAGAGTGTGCAATTTAAAACTTAAGAAATTGTTTATTTCTGGAATTTTTCGTTTTTTACACTGATGAAACTGTGGTTAAGAAGTTAAGGACTGACTACAGGAGTAGTGTGTTGCTACTTTCAAGCAGCCCGTTACATGACAGGCAGTTGTTTAGAGCATAGTCTAACACTGGGCAGGTACTCGCCACAGGTTCCATTTTCAGGTTGTGAGAAAAGTGCTGAATTATCTTGTGGTTCTACCTTTTACATCACCGAAGGCGATTAGCCTATAATTTGGTTTCAAAACTTAGCATCAGAATCATTGAGTAACATAATGCAGAGCCTCAGGTAAGTTTAGGTGAAGTTTTTAAAAAGTCAATGATAAATTTTTAAAATTAAATTGTACCACCAAAATTGAAAAAAGTTTATTAAGTATGTTTAGTGAATGTTATTTATAACTGATTTTTTAAAAGAAAGTTTCCCAGTAATATGAAGTAACTCAAATACCTTTAGCTACATTGGGTGTTGGGTTTTTTTTGCCAGTTTCTAATGAAGTTTTATATTCATTATAAATAGATTGAATATTTTAGAATTCTCCAAACTCATTTGAATGTATTGAAAGCTCCATATTTACATTTTTCAGCTTTAGCAGTGTGAATAAAATGCTTTTAAGCTTAACTTGAGCATTTCTCCCAAACCAGAAACTAAGAAATAATTCTATATGTTAAATAATTTCACAGATGAATTACTTTCCAGCAAATATTAATCCTAAACAACAAAAATGCTCATGTTGCAAAGCTTTAAAATGTTTCTACGTGAAAATGAAATATGAATGTCTTATTTTTTCTCAAGTACATCTTCATGCTCTAAAATTTTCCCTTCATCTACAAAAATACGGTACTCAAGCTTTCTCTATTAAAAATAATTTTTAGTTTTCTTATAACGTGAGAGCTAGCACTTAATAGGGGGCATACTAAAACGTTAAGATGGACAATTATTTCTTTGATAAGTGTATAAAATCACTTTCTTGATAGAGCTATCAAGAAAACCACATCAAAACATACTTTTCATGAGCAACAGCAACACATTTTGGCTGCTAACTTTTATATGATAAGTTATATGTTGGGCTTGTGGGAGTATTCATTGCCTTAAATTTCTCCTATCTGCTTATGGACACTGAGCAGGGATTGATTATATGGATTATATAGATTATATATTCAGCAATATACATACACACGCATCTTAGTATAATATCAGGCACATCAGTAAGTTTAGATTTCCTTCTGATTTTTGTATTAAGCATGGATGAGACTGTCTACTTTTTATATTTTTTATCATTACTTTTTTGTTGTTGTTGTTGTTTTTTGTTTTGTTTTGTTTTGTTTTGAGACGGAGTTTTCGCTCTTGTTACCCAGGCTGGAGTGCAATGGCGCGATCTCGGCTCACCGCAACCTCCGCCTCCTGGGTTCAAGCAATTCTCCTGCCTCAGCCTCCTGAGTAGCTGGGATTACAGGCACGCACCACCATGCCCAGCTAATGTTTTGTAGTTTTAGTAGAGACGGGGTTTCACCATGTTGACCAGGATGGTCTCTATCTCTTGACCTCGTGATCCACCCGCCTCGGCTTCCCAAAGTGCTGGGATTACAAGCGTGAGCCACCGCGCCCGGCCTTAACGTTACTTTGGATTCCTTTCTGAGAACAATGAATAGGACTTCAGGGAAGAGTTTGGGAGTGTGGCAAACAAGATCCTATTACACAGGGATGGCTTCTTGATTATTGGAGATTCACCTGTAACAATATTACCTCATATGTAAGGAAAAGTCAAGACTAACCCATTTTTTAAAACTTTTCTAGGCAGTCTTTGAAATGAGTTTCAGATTTCAAACAATGAGAAGAGATTTCATGTTTGGGCTATGAAATTTAAGCTGGGGTTTATAATATATGTCTGGACAGTGTTTTCATCTACTTTTGAAGAGTCTTTGAGCAGATAAAATAATCCAAGGGCTACATATTTTAAATGACTTCTAGTCACTTGGGGTTAAATGTTTATTCTCTTTAAATCTTTCAAGTTAAAAGTGATACAGGTTTTAGCTAGGATTTGAGTTTTCAAACTCTCAGAAAACTAGAAAAGCATTGACTTACACTATAGAAGCTGGCAGATGTTTTAATTTCAGAATTTAATCAGGCTGGTGCCTTTGGGAGAAAAAACAATGGCATTATAAGGTGCTTTATAGTAATAAATTTCCTGATCCACAGCTTCTAAAATTCTTGGAATCTCTTGAGTGATAGGAGTGTCTCTTTGCGTGCTAATGAGCCAACTGATGGCTGGGGACTCCCAGATAGCTTCAGAATGGTCACGTGAAAGATCAAGGCATGATTAGAAGGGTGGGAACTAACTTTCAGCCCCACCAACCAACAGCCAGGAGAGGAGAAGTTCTAAAGATTGAGCCACTCACCTGTGGCCAATGATGTAATCAGTCATGCCTAGGTAATGAAGCCTTCATAAAAACTTAGAAGAGTTCTGGGAACTTCCAGTTAACTAAACTTGCAGAGGTTCCTGGAGTATGGTGCCCTAGAGAGGACAGGGATGCTCTGTGCCTTACACAGCAGTCCTTAACCTTGTGGGCACCAGGGACCAGTTTCATGGAGGACAGTTTTTCCACAGATGAGGGGGTGGGGGATGGTTTGGGTATGAAAACGTTCCACTTCAGATCATCAGGCATTAGATTCTCCTAGGAGCATGCAACCTAGATCCCTCACATGCATAGTTCACAAATAGGGTTCCCACTCCTATGAGAATCTAATGCTGGCTGATTTGACAGGAGGCAGAGCTCAGGCTGTAGAACTTGCTCATCCACCTCTTACCTCCTACTGTGCAGTACAGTTCCTAACAGGCCACTGACTGGTACCTGTCTGCTGCCAGAGGGTCAGGGACCCCTGCCATACCACATGCTTGGCCCTATGAATCTTTTATCTGGTTATTTGTCTGTATTCTTTGTAATATGCTTTATAACATGTGCATAAGTAAAGTGTTTCCCTGAGTTCTGTGAGCCTCTGAAGCAAACCAATTAATCCCAAGGAGGGGGGTCATGGGAACGCCCATTTATTTTTATTTTTTTTACAGCAAGTCTTTTCATTTTTATTACTCAAAAAAGTTTCATTTTTTATTTAGCTTTCTGACTCTGTGCTTGCGCCTTTAACACTTTCACAATGACTTTCTGCTCCTCGATAAGGAAAGCACGCTTGATCCTGTCACATTTAGCACATCTGTGCTAAATGAACACATTTAGCACAGATGGAACCACCATAGGCCCTGCTGACATGTTCCTTTGTGTGGGATAATCTCATAAGAACTTTAGGTCTTACAGCACGAACCCCTCCAAGCCTGCCTGGGCACATGCCACATGCTGATTTTGGTGCTTTCCCAACGTTCTTGGTATAAAGGTAAACAATTCTATTACCAGGGGTCTGGGACAGCCTAGTTTTGTTAGAGGCTGTAGTGTAGGAAATCCTACGTTGATATGTCAAACACTGGACCATTTTGAGTGCCTGCACACAACGTCCCCAGAAGAGTGGGAACCCCCATTTATAACAGGCCACAACCTGTTTTTCTGACAGGCATCTGAAATGGGGGGCAGTCTTATGGGACTGAGCTTTCAACCTGTGGGATCTGATGCTATTTCCAGGTAAGTGTTGTCAGAATTGAACTGAATTTTTGGACATCCAGCTGATGTCTGCTCTGGGAGTGATTGCTTGCTTGGCGTGTGGAGAAGCCTCCCCAGACTCTGCGTCCCACTCATTCCATCACATCTGGGTCGGAAGCAGTCTCTGTTATGTTGATTGTGAGTGGAGTGGAAGCCAAAAAAAGCTGTGTTTTTGTTTGAGGCTTTCTGCTAATGGCACTAGTGCTTCTATTTCAACAGCCTATAGATTTGAAAGCTAGAAAGAGAGAGATGTAAACAAATCCTCTAACTTTGATCTACACCCCCAGGTTCCTCAAAAGAAGCCCTTGGAGAGTCTGGGGTATGCTAAGTATATGACTTGCATCCAATCCTTGGAGTGACAACCTATTCCAGTGGGTACCATTTTAGCCAACCCAAACCTTTATTTTCCTAATACATACTTAGAGTGACTTTTTAAAAAATGATACATCTGGGAAAGTATTTTAGAATGTCATCTGTTAACAGAATTAGGTACATCACTCCAGAGTATATTTTCAAGTAACAGTATTTGGCCTTACGGAGAGGTCTAAGCCCATCACGTAAATAACCATTTTTACCAATGATTCGTAATACATCCAGACTCCAAATGTTAAAGCTAAATTTTTTCTGATACTCTTTTCTGCCTACTCATACTCCTTTGACTTCCTAACTCCTTTAGAGTAAAAATTGAAATCCCATATCCCTAAAAACTGACGGAGTTTAACTTTTAAATGGTAGTAGTTTTAAAACAATAGTCTGTAAGAGCTGAGGGGAAGAGGCCAGTTGAAGAAAATCCAGAGACTTGTAAATGTTGGGAACAGGAGTCATTGACTTTTCAGTGAATACCAGTTACAATTTGTGAAGACCTATCTGCGGAAATCTATGATTGGGTCAGTGCTAGCTTTTTGCTAAATATTTCAGAGAAACAGAATTAATGAATTTGTCAGTGTGTAAACATGATGCTTCTGTCTAGTTTTTAGGGATATGGGATTTCAATTTTTACTCTAAAGGAGTTAGAAGTCAAAGGAGTATGAGTAGGCAGAGAAGAGTATCAGAAAAAAGTAAGCCTTAACATTTGGAGTCTGGATGTATTATGAATCATTGGTAAAAATGATTATTTACGTGATGGGCTTAGAACTCTCTGTAAGGCCAAATTCTGTTACTTGAAAATATACTCTGGAGTGATGTACCTAATTCTGTTAACAGATGACATTCTAAAATACTTTCCCAGATATATCATTTTTAAAAAATCACTCTAAGTATGTATTAGGAAAATAAAGGTTTGGGTTGGCTAAAATGGTACCCACTGGAATGGGTTGTCACTCTAAGGATTTCAACTGCAAGTCATATACTGAGCATATCCTAGACTCTTCAAGGGCTTCTTTTGAGGAACCTGGGAGCATAGATCAAAGTTAGAGGATTTGTTTACATCTCTCTCTTTCTAGCTTTCAAATCTCTAGGCTGTTGAAATAGAAGCACTAAAGCCATTGGCAGAAAGCCTCAAGAAGGGATAGCTATGTCTTGAGTAGAAAACCTTGAAGTTTCAGGTATTGAAAAATTCCTGAGACTGAAGAAATATTGGTAAATGATGAAATGTAGGGGAAAGCCAGAATAGTGTCTGTGCTGTTCTTATGCAATGAAAGCACTATATTTTGCCTTGATCCTTGTGTATCTACTAGAACCCAGTGTTAAGTCTTACTTGCTTATTTGTTTCATTATTGCAAATGGCCACATGAAGCAGTAGAATTCTTTCTATAAGTGGCAAGTGATTTTTCTTTCCCCACACTGAAAATATTTCTGTGTAACATATTTCTAGTTAAAAAAGTAATTAGAATGATATTACTACCAGTCAGTTTTCAGTACAGATGGCTGAGTGTCCTGGGAGAAAGTTGACCAGCTTTTGGCAGAGTAATTGTGCTTTTCCATTTGTCTATTTATGTGGAATGTTAGGTAGATATCAAGTGAAGACAGTTGGAATAAAGGAACAATCTATTGACCATAAAAAATTCAGAATTTCATCCTTCTACGAATTCACCCATCACATTATCTAAAATGTGATGGGTGAATTTATAGAAGGATGAGAGTCAGAGAATCCTTCTGAGAACTAATTTTTGGCCTTCAGCAAGAATTGTGATATTTAGTTCTATGTTTTCTGATGCTTAGGAGGAAAGGTCCATAAAGAGATCTCAGTGGAGCAGAGGACTTCATATACTACAAGCCAGTCCTGCTATGATGGAACAGGCTGTTGGTAGTATTTCTATGCTTCAGCAGATAGTCTTTATCAATAAAATATGTTGAAGCAACTACTAAGAAAAAATCTGTAACTCTACTCTCACGCCCCAACTACTACTCCTGCCAAAAAGCTTTCTTCTTTAATTTGTGACCACGTCTAATTTATGACCATGTTATAGCCTGTGTTAAAACTAACATTTTGGCTGGGGGTGGTGGTTCACACCTGGTGGGTCACCTGAGGTCAGGAGTTCAAGACCAGCCTGACCAATATGGTGAAACCCCATCTCTACTAAAAATACAAAAATTAGCCGGGCATGGTGGCATGCACCTGTAATCCCAGCTACTCAGGAGGCTGAGGCAGGAAAATTGCTTGAACCCTGGAGGTGGAGGTTGCAGCAAGCCGAGATTGCGCCACTGCTCTCCAGCCTGGGTGACAGAGTAAGACTCTGTCTCAAAAAACAAAAACAAACAAACAAAAAACCTAACATTTCTAATTAGGCTGAGGTATTAAAAAATAGTTTTTATCGTTGGCTAGTATCACCAAGATTTTAAAGTTACCTTTTCAATTTCTTTACCACAATCAGAGTCCATGAAAGCAGAAAGAAAAACTTCAAATTCTCCCTTTGTTCTCCTCCTCCCTCCTTTCACCAAAAAAGATAAGCTGAAAAGCTCAAAATACAGCAAAAAGATCTCAGAGACTTAAATGAAGGAGGGTTTGTGGTGTTAGCTGAAAGGTAGGGAAGTTGTCAGTATTCAAGATGGGCTCACATGGCCAGTGCCCCTTTACTCTTACTGAATTGTGTGCCCCTTCAAACCAAGGCTGGAGCCTGGAATTTACCAGTATGATTCAGTTTTGCCTACTGACCTGGGATGGAGAGCAACTGAAATCATGGGAGAAAACGATCTTGTGATGTTTACCCCAGGATACAGAAGATGAGAGACACGATGTTTGTTTGCTCATGAATTCTCTCTCCCTTTGAGGAAATCTTCAGGCACATCTTGACAGCTCTTCCTTTGGAATTAACATTGTGAACATGTTTATATTGGCAGGAGCGTGGGAACCTTAGCCTTTGTTTTATTTGGGTGTGATTATTGGTAAGCACATTACTTGGCAACGTTACTATAAGGATCCCTGTTTCTACACAAGCATCACTATAGATGGCCTGGTGGGTTTTGTTATACATTTTCAAATGAAAAATTCCAATTCAGAAACAGAGTAGGGGTCTTCCAAAACCTTTGCAAGATTTTAAAATTAATATTTATAATTTTGGTATATTCAGTCACATACACTTCCTTCCAGTCATCTATGGGCTTACTGGTCAATTTAACATCGGGGAGTAGATTGTGTTAGATTAGTTTCTAGTCTTAACAAAACACTCCTTTTTTTTTTTTTTTTTTACATTTTTTTAAACAGATTTTTCCTCTTGTTACCCAGGCTGGAGTGCAATGGCGCGATCTTGGCTCACCGCAACCTCCGCCTCCTGGGTTCAGGCAATTCTCCTGCCTCAACCTCCTGAGTAGCTGGGATTACAGGCACGCACCACCATGCCCAGCTAATTTTTTGTATTTTTAGTAGAGACGGGGTTTCACCATGTTGACCAGGATGGTCTCGATCTCTTGACCTCGTGATCCACCCGCCTCGGCCTCCCAAAGTGCCTGGATTACAGGCGTGAGCCACTGCGCCCGGCCAACAAAACACTCTTTTATGGTGTTGAATAATTTACAGAAATTGTTACTAAACATCAGCTGTTTTATTTAAGCTTGGAGTGCTGGGAATACTAGAGAGCTGCTGGTCTAATAATTATCAACTAGGCAGTTTAGACTGTAGTGTAAGGACTAAGAGAACCCCTGGATACTCTACATAAAATTTCGGTCGTATTTGCTTATATGCATTTTTGAATTAAGACTGTGGCTTTTGGCAGGTTTGCAAGTGGGTGCTTGACCCAAGTTAAAGGACTGATCCTTTAATTTACCAGATGAAGAAAGTGTGAACTCCGTGGTACTTGCCCACTGTGGCACAGCAGGCTGGGGCCAGGGCAGGATCTCCTCGTTGTACATCAGTGGTGTAGATAGGTAGATGATACCTAACAGCACACGCACCACCCTATGCAGGTGGGTCATTCTTCTACCAAATAGCAGCCTCTAATATCCTTGCACAGAAGTTGCACTGGTATTTCTAAAATGATATATTTTCAATTTTTTGAAATCTTCCGATCAGTATTTCAGGGAATGAAATGCAGTCTGGAATCTAGACTAGGTGGTAGGCTGGTCCTGTTTATAGTGCCACAGCTGCAGATCACCCACGTGTCTCATTTCCTGCTCTGAGTTTAGAATATAAACGAGGAGATTCTCTTTGCATCCATAACAAGTATATCCTGGTTACTAAAATAAAAACCTGGTGACATCATTGACTAATGTGAAGAGCAGAGAGCACATCCCATAATGCCTCCAACATATAGAAGGTATTTTTGTGTTTTTACCTCCTCTTCTAACTTTAGGTCTTGTCAGTATTTAAATGCCAGCTGGTCATAACATAGCTAATGTAAGGTTCTTTTATGGGGAGTTCACACCTTTGTCTTGGCTAACTTAAGAAATAAATGAAGTTAAGATTATTTTATGGA